TAAAAAAATCTATACTCTATTTGGAGTGGAGTACCTAGCTACAGGAGTACTCTTGATAGATTCACCTATGTGAATGTGGAAGTGAGGCCGCTTCCTATGAAATGTGTGGCAGCATTTCTAGAGCGTTCACTATACTGGGATAGACGTGCATGGCCGTAATAGCACGGGTCTATGACTAACACCGAGAATAGGTAGTGTGTGGTACGTTGTCAGAGATAGGGTTCAAAACTTCGAGTTACCCTTGTTAAATCTGAATCATATTCACTACGCAGAAGTTCAAGTTGAAAAACACTTCTGTTTATGCACAACCTATATATGTAAGGATTCTGCTTGAAAATATTTTCAAAAATTCAAGTGGGGGATTGTTGGAACAAAGTTGTTTTAAATGTGAATTTGTGAAAATGGTAAAGTCCCACATTGGTGGGAAATAAGAGTGTTGCTTGGTTTATATAGGTGTGTGTCATCTAAAGGGGTGTGGCCCTTGGGCTATGCACATTTTGTGGAGAGGAAGGACTTACCTACTAAACCAATCTAACACACGCACGCCGAACCAAACCGGGCCGGGCCGGGTTGGGTTGGATTTCTTAAACAGATTTATATTTTTTGAACAAGGATTAATTCCTTGATTTTGTAACTGATTTCATAGTCAATTCTTAACCGTTACTGTTTTTATTTTTGCCCGTTTTTATTTGACTGTTCTGTAACGGTTATTGCATTGATTTTTTGTCCGTTTTGCAACAGCTAATTGACGTGAATTAAGCCCTTAATTACGTCCGTTAATTGCTTGCTAAAGCCGTCCAGATACATTCTGCTAAACCGTCCAGATTCGTTTTTTCAGCCACTATAAATTTGAGGCTCTCCCTCACTGTTTGAAACAGAAAAACAACTCACAAAAACGTTTTACATTGTTCTGCTTTTACATAAAACGTTTTACAGAAATATTCGAGCATTGTTATATTAGTGTTGGTGTTTAGTTGTCCGGTGGTTCTGTGCAAATCCATCGGTATATCCTTTTGTTACGAGAGACTGTTTTATCTTGGGGGACATCCGGTTACGTTAGAGCTGCTTGCACACATCAAAGGCAGTACCGTGAATGTTCTAAAGAGAGCGACATAGTCCGCGACTCAGTCTCATTCCCGGTAACTTTGTTCCTTCTTTATTTTAGCAGTTCCGTTTACAACAATAAGGTTCGAAATGGTGAATTGAAAGCGTTTTTGTTTTTCGTTTTTTGCGTGAAAGTCTCATAAAATCAGATTGTAAATCCCAACCGGAAGCAAACGAAAGAGGGGAGGCGCATTCATTAACAACTACGGCCAACCAACATCAACAACAACGGCGTAAGCGTTTTCGATCTCGGTTTTTGTGCGAAAGTCTCATATTTTTGTATATCTAGTTTTAATTTAAGTTAGATTGTAGGTTTTCTTAGTTTTTTATGTAATTGTAATGTTAGATTATAAATTTGATTAGATAATTGTATTTCCTTTAACTTTTAATGTATAATTATCGGTTTTTTTTTTAATTTTTTTATGAAATATGTAAATCTACTGGTTTTGATTTGTTTGTGTTGTATTTTTCGACTATTTTGGCTTAATTTTCGTAATTTGTTTCAATATTTTTACGACGTTTTTGGTTACAATTTTCGTAATTTGTATTTTTCGTAATTTGTTACTTTTGTTTTCGAGTTTTTTTTAGGTGAACGGTGGTGGGGCTGGCGAGGAGTGGTGGGTGCTGGCGGGGAGTGGTGGGGACTGGCGGGAAGTGATGGGGGATGGTGGTGAGTGGTGGTGGTTAAGGGGGAGGTTAGGTGGTGGGGTTAGGGTTCGTTTGAGGTTGGGGCTGGAGGAGTGGTGAGTGGTGGGGGCTGGTGGTGGTTAAGGGGGAGGTTAGGTGATGGTGAATGGTGGGGGCTTTTTTTTTTTTTTTTTTTTTTTTTTTTTATAATTTTCTGGGTTTGATTTTCGGATGGAATTTTCGTCGGAATTTTCCGGCGAATTTGTATTCCGTCGGAAAGTTCCGACGGACTTTCCGGTGGCCTGAATAGCTCTTCCTACGAAAATATTCCGTCGGAAGTCCGTCGGAAAATATTGTTCCGACGGAATTTCTGTCGGAAAATGTCGTTTTTCTTACACATAGGTTTACGATGACCTGTTCCGACGGAATTCCGTCGGAAACAGTCAGTTCCGACGGAATTTCAGGATATTCCAAGGGATTATTTCCGTCGTTGATTGGCTTATTTCTTGTAGTGTTTCAAGCTACATCTAATTAACCATAGGAGTACTTCATAACTACAAAACATACCTAATATTTGATGTACAAAGGTAAGCTACAAGCCAAGGTATTGAATGCACTAAAAACCATACCTTGTGGCTTTGAGGCCACAAAATTGAGCATCACCGTACCCTTGTGTTTATTAACTTTGAGCTTGATTAAATCACTTTCAATATTTGCTCTCAAAATATCAAAATCATACATAGTATATTATTTTAGTATATACTAATCTATATTATATATTAAAAGATGTTCTTAAAAACGTCGATGTGCTATGATATAAGGTTAAGGAGATTCGAACACTCAACCTCTTATCACAAGGATGACTCAACCTCATACCTTCCGGGGACGAAAAGTCTGTCAAATTCATCTATATAACGTATAATACATGAAAACTATAATACAATAATATATAATGTATGACCCGGGACAACACTCGGGCTAAACACTAGTTGATAATGAAAACGGTTAAAATAGTGCGTGTGCATGGACAAACATAAAAGTTGAAATGGTATGTAAAATTAGTTATAAATAAAATTATTAATATTATTTTCCCATCAATTAAAAACGATTACATGCAATAGAGTAAACGAGTAGTACAAGAATATCCATAGTCTGCCATTCAACTTTATATTTTTATCTATGACTATGAAAGCTTACACAACAGATCAACAACTTTATATATTTTTTTTCCCCTTACCTTTTAAATAGAACGATAAAAAGGACCAACAAATCATCAACCGACGACAAGGGCTTCCAAATCATTGATGAAACTATCAACGTTACCACGTATATAACCGGGGTCTAGTAATTTCTTCCTCCAAATTTCATGATTTTTCTTAACCAAAATCCCAATTTCACTATCTTCATTCATCACTGATCCAACAGCTTTACACAAACTATCTTTTGAGACCCACGATCCATCTTCACCTCTTTCTACTTGGACTGCCACTTTGACTTCTTCAACCATTATTTCACTAAATAAGATCTGATCTGGCGATTGTGGGACCAACACAATTTGACTTTTACTCAACATTGACTCCCATATACTCCCTGATCCACAATGGTTTACAAAGCATCCTACTGAGGGGTGTGATAGTATTTGTGGCTGTTGCACCCACTCTCCCGTCACCACCCCTCGATCACTGACCCTCTCGGTGAACCCCTCGGGTAATGCCTCCTCCACGGTTGCATAACCTATGGGGGCTTGAACGCGACTAAGAAGGGTAGTTTTGTCATTTCAATCCCGAGGAGGATCTCTTGGAATTGGGCCACAGTAAGCATGATTTGACTCCCAAAGGCACAAAATACTACCGAGCCTGGCGCGAATCGGTCTAGCCACTCGGCCCAACGAGTGTCTAGATTTACCTCTTTAGGCTCGGGCAGGTCTAGGACTGTGAGGACGGGCTTGTTGTTGTATAGGCTAGATAAGATGTCACAGTACTTACCTTCTATTTCACGGCAGGTTTTAATAGCAATAGCATCACTACACTTGAGTGCAGTGGTGATCCTTTGGTGGAAAGTAACCCCCTCACCGTAGGGATCGTCCAAGAAGCTGCGATGCTTCTTTGGTACCGAAGGCGTGACCGTGGTTGAAGGGTCGTCAGGGGAAGTATTACATGCAACACATGCATTCTCCTCGACCACGGTCTTGTCCTTTGGTGGGTCCCAAGACGGGACCATATCTAAGGACAGGATCGAGGCATAAGTAACACAATAAGTTAGGCACTTTGCCTTGATCCCAGAGACTGCAACCGCCTCTGGGACCCAATAGGCAAAGTCATAGATAACAAGGTTAGGTTGGAGTTTATCAAGGATGGACTCAAACTCGGGACGAAAACGGTCTAAGGCCGTGGCAAGGTGAGTTTGAAGATTAAAAGGTATATCCGAGAGCGTTTGAGTGCCCGGAGGGAGTGGATCGACGTGGGGAACATCGATGGTTTGGATGGTAACAAGAGATGGATAAAGATTTGAAGATTGCAACAAAAGCTTAGCCTTGTTAGGGAGTAAAAGAGTGACACTATGACCTTTCTCGGCAAGTATATTAGCAAGGTGAACAAATGGTGTTGCATGGCCCATGGCAAACCATGGATACATCAACACTTTTAAGTCTAACTTCTTTATTTCAATTTCCCCCATTTTTTGTTGTTGTTGTTTATGATTTTCTGTGGCCGGAGTTCAATAGTAAACTACTTTGTTTTTATACATGCAACTTATGTCTCTTCTACCTACCCCTTTGTAATTAATACTGTAGATTATTCGGTAAGTATATAAATTCCTTAGGACCATCAACAATTAAAGACCTAGCTAGGTGTAGCAGCTACCTCTAGTGAACAATGTAGACATACGTTACATTTTGTCGCACTAAGCCTATACGTCCTTTGTCAGCACTATAACTCGTATTAGTGCGGTTTACAAAATTGGTTACACTTTATTTTCATGTCTTTGAACATTAATATTTCTAAATATATATCGATAAACATTATGAAGTATTTAAAATTTGAGGTTTGGTTAGTAAAGTACTTGTTGACATGAATTAATTAACAAGACTTTGCATTGTATGATAGTTTTAGATAAGGCCAGAGCTTAATGAGTGTACTTGATAAAAAATTCGAACATGATAGAGTAATTAGTTTTGTGACGTGGATGAAAGTATACACTGCGATAAATCATTCCTAATTTACCATAACTTGTGCAACGTACACTTAAGTAGCCATATATAGCTGCATGCAGCAAGTAAAATTCGTCCTTCAAATTTAATAAATTACCACAATTATTCAAGCACTTTACTGTATAAGTGTATATATCATCAGCACTACTAAATTTGAAATGGTTTGTGATGAATGTGATCAATTATACCGGTATGTACTAGCACGACATTACACACGGACACGGGGGTGGGGGAGGGAAGGAAAAATAACGAATGTTGAAAAGGAAAAAAGCAAATCCTTAACTCGTGAGAAAACAAAAACACAAAACACAAACCCATGTTAGGTTTATCCCCCACTAATTCACTAAAACCAAGAGTCCTTGATATTTGATATTTTGATTCCAACCACCGGCCTTTCGGGACCAAACCTCCGGCGAGGCGGCGACTAGACCCTGACCTTCGGTGTTGTTCTTTCACTTTCCCAAAATCCCCAATTTAATTTCAAAGTAAGTTATACTCCCTCCGTTTTGTAATAATCGCAACACTTTCTTTACATCTATTTTATAATAGTTTGCAACATTTCCTATTTTAGTAAGGATCCACTACTATTTTATTATTTCTCTCTCCTACTTACCCCACTTGCTTAAATATTTAATTATTTCGCTCTTTACAAACCCCACTTATATTATTTTTTATTATTTCTCTCTGCTACCGACAATAAAATATATTCTCACTAACTATACTTTATATTATAAAATTCACCCTATCCCTATGATCCCTACCCTATAAATTTTCTAAAACTTTGTGCAAGACCTACTATTGCGATTAATACGATGGAAGGAGTAACCATAAATCCCTAATTTGATTAAAGTCATATTTTTGTTTTTTTGTTTTGTTGTTGTTGTTTAATTGTTTATGTTGTTGTCTATTTAGTTCTCTAATTGTCTTGTTCCATTAATCTATTGTTGATTTGTTGAATGTTGAATGAGTACTTGAGTTATTATGTGATTTTTTTGAAATTTTAAGTTAATTGTGTATTTGTGTTTTTTTGTGTTGTGCCTAATTTTTTGTTGTTTAGATGGGTCAGAAATTTAGAATGTTAGAAATTTGAATACTTGGTTGAATAATTGTCTTTAAATAGTTATGGTAATTGATAAATTGAATAGTTGACTAATTAGTTTATTATTTCCAATTTATTAGGACATATCACAAACTCAATCTTCGACAATTTATGTCTAAAAGAATGAAATCCCAAGATATACCCCCTTCGTTTAGTTCTCACCAAACTCAAGAAGATGATATGGAAATTGGTGTTTCAAATGCTAGTAATGTAGTACTGGAGGATGAAGAATTGGTACACGATCACTACTAGAAAAAAATTTATATTAATATTAAAACGAGTTTTTCATTAAATCCGCTGCAAATGAATAATATCCTCCTTTACCCTAAACCCTCATTTCAGATTTCACTCTCCCTCCCTCTTCCAACTTGATCAGCTTAAAAAAATGCTCTCAACCGCCCCAACCATCACCGTCAAATCAGTCACTCTTCAAAACCCTCACCGTCACCACCCGTTTTCACCGTCACTTCTTCCGCTCGACATAGTCCTCCCTTTCACTCACTCACTGACAAAGGTAATGTTATATATTATCTCCTTAATTGAGAATGAATTTTGATTTGGGTAGTGTTTTGGGGGCTTATACTTGCCCTAATTTATTGTTTATTAAACAACATGCAAATTGGAGTTGTTTACTTTTTAAAATATTCTTACTTTACTTGATTAGTTCTTACTCTAATTCGTTAGTTCAGATGTAGTTTATAGGTATTGGTTTTAGTCAATGCAATTGCATGGGCTATGTAGTTATTTCGCCATTTTTTGGCTGAGATTTGCTGTATTTTTCTGGGAATTAGTTGTCTGTTTTTGTCTGAGATTTGCTGTATTTTTCTGGGAATTAGAGGTCTCACTAAATGGTCCTGGACATTTGTATTTTTAATTCTAGGCTATTAACTGGGCTTAAATCTAGGCTATTTTGTAATTTTAATTGCTATTTATTGCCAATGTTCTGGTTCTAGCCATTATCCCCGAAACTACTGGTTTTCTTTATGCCTTGGTTTGTTTAATTGCATAGGTGTGGATTCTGGTGACACTATCAACATCCATAAAGGTGGTAACTCTGAGCAACATCTGGAAATTTGTAAATAAGATTTAGGTATTTTTAGTATTTACTATCCAGCTATCTGAGTTTTTTGAAAATGCGAGGTGTACAGCATTTACATGTGATCCTCTAATTGCTTCCTTAATGCCTTTTTACACAATAGTAGAAATGGTTCAGATCTTCATGTGGATGCTAATATAAGCTTTATACAGGTAATTTTTTACTTACTTCCCATGGTTATTGGTTGTCTTCTTTTTTTCTTTTCTTGTAAAATGATGCTTTTACATGCTTCTGTTACCGTACAAGTTGAGTTTGTAATGTAACCTTAATGTGTTCAGTAAGTACTGCTGTGACACTTTGGTTTTTCCAAAATTTGTCAAATAAGGTTCTTTTCAGTCCTAATATCTTGAAAATGGCTCTTTCATCTATAGGCAGCCTTATTCACACACCCACGGGGTAAAATAAAAGCTAGAAGCAACACATAGTCTTTTAACCACTTTTGAACTTTTGTGAGTCAATTGTTGTCCAAATGCCATTATTTTTTATAAGTGAAGTATATAAGTGAAGTATTATTATTATTTTTTAGATTGATTTGATGACTTACTATATATATTGTATCATGTTCATAGATTTGCACGTTTTTAAATGAAGATCCTTATACCGATGGTGATATTGAAGAAGTGCGGAACATATGGGACTCATATTCACTAATTATTGTGTGTGATCATAGTTGTTAACAATATTTTGTGTTTTGTTTTGGATTGATATATGTACGAACAAAAGTGAATCGTACATTTTATCATATATTGTGATAATTTAATTTGGGCTAATTAAAGTATTTTGTTCATAAAGTTCAGGAATACAGGTCCTTCATGAGTATATTACACATAAAAACAATGGATATGCTGCCGAAATTTTATTTCATTCATTATATATTACCAAATAATAGTATTTTTTTTTTAAAAAAATACTATTAATTAGCAGCGGATGTTACACAAAAAGCGAATAAAATAATTCATTATTTAATTGGTGGAATATATTTATTTGCGGGGGTTAAAATAGATAAGCGCTGCAATTTGATTTGCTGCCACCTCAAAAACGCAGCAAATTAATGATTTTTAACCGCTGCAAATAAATGTTTTTCTACTAGTGAATGTGGAACTTCTTTCTCATGATCCCGAAAAAAGAATGAATATTATGGATTATCCCCATAATCAAAGAAATGCAGTAAGAAGAGGCAAAAGAATGAAACTTAACTCTCTTTCCATGATGCTTGTTAAAACTAAGAGGCATAAGACTTAACTTTAATTTAAAATTTATGACTATGTTGTTTGGATTTTGAGTTGTAAAGCATTGACTATTTAATTATCTATCTGCCCAAGTAAATTTTTATTTTCAACATTTTTGTTAAATCATGCGTTGTCCATTTGTCCTCCCATGTTCAAATTCAATTCCTGGCTCTGCCACTATGTACTACCACGATGTTACACACGTATACCATTACTAAGATTGAATGACAGGACTATTATACAAGTATACAAGTATTATGGACTGTAAGTTAATAACAAGAGTTGGTTCAAGTGGTAAGCAACGACTTGATGTCGCTTAAGGGAGATCTCGATTTCGAGCCTCATCGAATGTAGAAAACTTTTGTTGGAAGACTTACCCACCATAAGCCAGATGTGCAACTCATATTGGATCCGAATATAGCCAGAGTTAAAGCTCCGATGAACTGAATGGGGCAAACTCAAAAAAAATTATGGACCATAAGTTTAACTATGAGGTGTATGAACAACGTTATCTAAATCCGGATAGAGAGTAACTAATAAACTACGGTACTAGCCCGTTCATTAACAATGCTAATCGTGATCGAAACACCATGCACTTAAGCGTTATTCTGTCAGTACTGTTGAGCTGTCGACATTTTCCTATCCATTAATATTGAACTATTGTGGTTGAAATCATTTAATACATATCCAGATGGCAAGATTACGAGGAAGAATATTATGATTAGATTCACACAATGATTATTGTCTAGATTCTATCTCAAAGGACAATAACCACTTTAGTAGGGCTATTAAAAGAAATCTTAACTTAATTTTAATTGTGTTTTAGAATTTATTGTGATACAAGATCATACAACCGTGTATTCCGGTCATACTCGGAAAAATGTCATGATTATAATTGTTTTGGTGAGAGTTAAACATTGCCCTGATTATATTAGGAAATCGGGTGTATTTGTGTTTGATTAATGCAGAACAAATCAATAAAAAATAAGAACGAGAAAAACAATAAAGAAGATAAATAAAGAGCACTAGGATTTACGTGGCTCAGTCAAATTATGCCAACTATACATTCACAGGTGGGGGACTTGAGAGCTTCTTCACGATAAAGAAAGAACAAGAAAACATACAAGGAGTCCTAAATCTAAATAGCTCAAAAGGTGTGATGTAATTGATCACCTAAAGGGTCTTTTAATAACATAAGGAAACCCTAATAAAAGCCAAAGTTCTCCCAAGTAAAACTCAAATAGCTGGGAGTAAACCAAATTAGGAAACTGTTTCATAAATTATGCACAAAGACCGGACTGTCGAGTTATAGCTTGGCAGCTAGCTCAAGTCTGCCGCAAGCCTCCATAGGGCCGAGCTATAGCTCACTCGCCAAGAGCACGCAATAGCTGGCTGCTGCTAATGCTGCCAAGTCCACGCAAGAGCATAGCTTGCTCCCACTACTAAAATTACGGTTTTTGAGACCGTCGCAAACAGTTGTTGAAAATAGCAAAAACGGTCGCTAAAAATAATTACGACCGTCAACGGTCATAACGTGGTGGTCGTTATTCACTTGGTCTCAAAAAGTCATAATTGCGACTGATTGGCGGTCACAATAAATTTGTGACCGTTTTCATTATTTTCAACGACCGTTACTAAAACGGTCGCAATTTTTATGAATTGCGACCGGTATAACAACGGTCGCAAATTTTTCATGTGTGACTGCTAAAGGCGGTCGCTGAAAGTTTTAAAAAAATAAAAAAAATATATATAAAAGACTTAAGCAAACGAAAGCAAACATCAACGAAAATCCAGAAATCAAATCAACCAACTTCCAGAAATCAAATCAACCAACATCCAGAAATCAAATCAAACCAAACCTCAACCTAAATCAAACTACAAATCAAATCAACCCAAAAACAAACCACAAAAATCAACCCAAAAACAAACCACCCAAAATCAACCAACAACGAAACCTAGCAGAAATTAAACCAAAATTACAAAGCAAAAACAAACCACAAAAATCAATCAAACGAAATAAAAAATTACCAAAAATCAAACCCAAATTCAAAACGAAAATCAAATCCAAGTTGAACAAAAATCAAACCAAAATTAACGAAAAATCACAAAACCCAGAATGAACAAAAATTCGACCAAAAAAATCGAACAAAAATTCGACCAAAAAAATTGAGCAATAATTCGACTCAAAAATTAAACCCACAAAACTAAACGAACAAAATTGGACCAAAAATCGAACAAAAAAAGTAATAAAACCCACATAAATTGAAAATAAACAAAAACAAAGAAAAAATTGAACCCACATATATAAAATCGAACAAAAATTATACCCACATATATAAATTCGAACAAAAATTAAACCCACATAAATAAAATAGAGCGAAATAAAAACCACATATATAAATTCGAAAAAAAAAATTTAAACCCGCATAAATTCGACCAAAAAATCAAACAAACAACGAATTACACCCACAAAAAACGAAAATAAACAAAAACAAACAAAAATTTAAGAAAAATCATCATACCTTTCCAAATATTTCTTCCTCTTTGGGTTTATATGATGAAATTCGACCATGAAAACTCCAGATTTGGAATTTTTATGGTCGAATTTGACCATGGACCCATAATCTGGACAAGAACAAAAGAATAAAGAAGAAAAAGAGAATAGAGGGAGGAGGAGAGGTAGTGAATATGGTGGCGGAGGAAAGAGTTGCAGACGCCGGTAAAGATGGAGGATGAGGAAAGAGAAAAGAAGGAGAAGAGAGGAAAAAGAAGAAAGAGAAAGGAAAGAGAAGAGGGAGAAAGGAAAGAGAAGAGGGAGAAGGCCGTGAAAAAGAGGAGACAGCGGCGTGAGGTTTAAGAGAAAATTATGGTTAGAGTGAATTAGGTACTCGGCATTTTATACCCAATCATTTTTTTTTTGCGATCGCAATTTACGACCGTTTTTGGCGGTCGCAAAAGTTTTTTTTTTTTTTTTTTTTTTTAAATTTAGAATTATTTTACAAATGTTCAAATTACCTTGCGACGATTTAAAAGGGCAAAAACGGTCGCAATATTGCGACTCCGCTCAAGACGGTCGCAGATTTCATATTTTACGACCGTTTTGATGACGGTCTTAGAAACACGGTTGCAATTTGACCAAATTTTAGTAGTGTCCTTATCGCAAGAAACCTTGCCTACGCACAACTCCGAGCTACCTAGAGGGCTATGTCGTCACTCCAAAAACACAGATTCAAGGTATATTCCAACATACTATTTTGAGGTATTGATTATATTGTTGGAATATTTGCATGAAATTGTTATTTGCTAGTGGTTAGTTAACTCTTACCGTATAGGAATATACTCCATCCCAGGCACATAATTTTAGGTAAAAGAATAAAATAGTATATAAGTGGGTATGATTAGGAATAAAAAATTTGGAAAAGTAAGAGAGAGAAATATGAATGGGGACTGCTAGGAATAATGTGAGAGGGAGAAAATATTATAAAATGATAGTGGAGTTAAAAGGATGAGAGAAATAATATATAAAGTGAGTGGAGTTTCCACTTTTGGTAATGGGGCACATAAAAAAAAAAAAAAAAACGGCCGTTTATGAAAAGTGGGGCACTTAAAAAAAATAATAAAAAAACGGAGAGAATAGTGATTAGTGGAGTCATAATCATAGTGTGTTTTTTGGGTTAATACACGTTAGGTATGATCTAATGATCACGAGATAATATTCCTTAATTTTAGCTTAATTTTACACTATATATTGCTATGTAATTCGTATTTTAATGGATTGGATATATAAAAGTTCTTCTCTTGCCCTCTCTCATCTCTCTACTTATAATTCAACACCTATATGCATGGCTATATATCTACAATTCTTCGAGCAAGTAGACGGAGTAGTGATACATAAACCGGACATGGTGTGCGTTCGTATGGATCGGATTAATGCGTCTACTCACAGTCAGGGGTGGATACAGGGGTTCAAACGGGTTCATTGAACCCACAGTTTTTTTCTGAGAAGTTTAAATTTAATATTTGTTAGCAGTGATGCCGTATGTTGAAGTGTAGCTCAGTGGTAATTTTTACCATGCAAGAGTTTGGCGATCAAGGATTCGACCCCTACCCTTATCCTCTTTTTATAATTTTTGGGGACATTCATATGACATCGAATAATTGATACGGAGTATATGATTGATGGTTCAACCCCTTAGCACAATACATTGTGTTAATTTATTTTTTATTTTAGTTTTTTAACTGATTATTAATGATTTATTAATTATTTAATGATTGCTAATTGCCTAATTTGATATATATTAGATATATTGAATAATTGATTGTTGAGTTAGAATCTTATTCGATATATGATTTTAATTGATATATGATTGATGGTTTTTAAATTATTTGTGTATATTGGGGTTTTTAATTTCTGTTTATATATATTAATTTTTATCATTTTGGAGTTAGAAGTTGGAAATTAGAATGTTAGATTATTTAGAAATTTTAGATTGATACTTGATTGATTTTTGTGTATTATTGATCTACAATTTTACATTTACTGTATAAAAAATTAGAATGTTACAATAATAAATTAGTAATCATATGAATTGTGCTAGAGTTGGTGATGATTTATTGACCCAATTCCAAATTATGAAAAATGCTTTTGTAGTTTTCATTTTTATTGTTGAATCTTTAATTAAAATATATATTTTTTTTCTCTTACGATACCAAACGCACATCTTGGGATTCCTGGATACGCCACTGCTCACAGTCTCACACAACTAACTATGATATGTACAAGATGAAGTCTAATGACCCCAACAGAGTTTGAAGCTTTTAATTTATGAGTATGATATGATGAAATTGGAGATAGCTTCGTTCTGATCACAAAAAGAAATTAAACATTTAATTTGTTAGACGGGTTGGTATGCCTAATGCCTTGGACATGGATGGAGCAGCCAACTACCAAAGGCTCGCCGGGACCAGCAAGGGGTGGTGCAATAATTAGCTAGGGGTGAATTTTGGTAGGTGTTCTTCTTAAAAACAGAATTCATGCATGGCACTTGCAATTGGCGAATGAGCTGCAAATTAGAAAGCTTGGTTCCTAGCTTGGATCATTGAAAAAAAAAAAAAATCTACTCCCTCAATTTTTTTTTATTTTTTATCTTCCCATTTACTATTTCTGGAGTCAAACTTACAAAATTTTGGCTGTAGTTTAATTTTATCATGTATAAGATAAAAATTATCACATATTCACATGTGATATTATTATATTAATTGCAGTTTGTATTTTTATAATATCAAATTTTAAAATTATACCGAGCAAAATTAGAGTAATTAGTAGTCAAAGTTATACCTCAAAGATCACATATGTACAAAACACAAATTATAAGATAAAAAAGAACAGAGGGAGTGTGATACATAGCTAGTCTTGACAAATTTTTACCCTATGTGTGCATGTACGAATTATGCTAGATAGTACATCTGATCCCACTGCGTTCATGATCATCGATCCTCGCTCATTACTACTGTACGTAAAAGTGGTAAAAAAGTCATTGCCTTTAAAATATCACCTCTCTTTCTGGATAATATATCATTTCTCTGCATAGGTACTTATAGAGGTGTCAAAATTAAACCGACTCCAAAAAAATCATATGTTTTGAACTATAATCGATTCGATTTGATCCGAGAAATTCAAGACCCAAATCCAATCTATAACCGAACTGAACTCAATCCAAATCCGAATTTGACCCGATTTGAACTTAACCCGGTACCAATTTGAATTGATATTGGTCCAATAACAAGATTAAAAAAAAAAAAAAACTCAATCTCACATACGGCATTTTTGAGTTCCAATGAAGGTACAAGGGCCTACAACAACTAAACGGCATATTTGGGTTCCAACTAAACTACTATACATTCGTTTGTTTATGTTTAACTCATACTCCATACAATCTAGTAATCTACGTTGCTTAATATTGATGTTTAAGTGTAGTGAAATAATTTATCGTTGACTTAGCTTTATGTGTCACTTATTGTGTGGAGCCAATTATATACTCCGTTCGTTCATCTGAATTCTAGTAGCAATTTCATTTATTAACACTATTTTTTATAAAGTAGGTAGTACTAACTTTTTTATTTTTTTTTATTTTTTATTATTGAATTATTATTATTCCCTTCGTTTCTAAATAATTACTTGGCATACATGCTAAATTGCTAATGCACTTATTGTAAAAAAAAAAGAAAATTTAATATTATAAAACTTTATATTAATACCTATTTAATAATATATTTCATGATAACATTTGTTTTTTATACGTTACTAAAAACAATGTTCAAACTTAATATATGACTAGTGAATAAAACTTAAACACGTCAATTATTTAGGAGTGGAGTGAGTATATAAATGTTTCCCATGTATATTCTCAAGTGTTTTTTTTTTTTGATATGATTTTTTATTCATATATTACGTATAATATATTTATTTGTGGTCGACCTTATATGCATTGACACGTGTTTTTTTACATGTGAGTGAACATTTGTTCTCCTTGTCTCACTTTGACTCCTGTCATAAAGTATAAGTAATGTATATAAATAATGCATAAGTAAAAGTGTAATTAATAAGCTAAAATAATGGAGTAAGTAGTAAACATCAAAAACAAATAAAGCAACCGAATCCAACTTGAAGATCGACACTAACCCTATGACAACAATTTAAAGGAGACAACTTTGAGAGGAACATCCACCAACATTCAAATTACATTATTATTACTAACGAGTGCTTGCAAATCCTTAACAAATTTGTCGAAGTAACCACTCATTAATCCAGGTTGAGCTAATTTTTGCCTCCAAATTTCATGGTTTTTCTTAACCAAACCACAAATCTCACTACTATCATCCATTACAGATTTAATAGCTTTACTCAAACTCTCCCTTGACACCCAATATCCATCCTCTCCTCGGTCTACTTCAACAGCCACTTTCAATTCCGTCGTAAATATTTTTGAGAATAATACTTGATCTTGTAGTTGTGGTATCAACACTATTTGATTTTTACTCATCATTGACTCCCATATACTCCCTGATCCACAATGGCTCACAAAGCATCCGACCGATGTGTGTGCTAGTATTTGTTGCTGTTGTACCCACTCTCCCGTCACCACCCCTCGATCACCGATCCTATCAACAAACCCCTCGGGGAATGCCTCCTCCACGGTTGTGCAACCCATGGGGGGATTGAATGCGATTAAGAAGGGTAATTTTGTCATTTCAAACACGAGTAGGAGCTCTTGAAATTGGGCCACGTCGAGTACAACTTGGCTTCCAAAGACACAAATAACCACTGATCCTGGTTTGAATTGGCTTAGCCAATTTTCCCAACGTGTTTCTAGCTCTCCCTCTTGAGGTTCGGGAAGGTCTAGACCCGAGAGGAGGATAGGCTTATCATCATACTGCTTAGACAAGTAGTCACAATACTTGCCTTCTATCTCTCGGCATGTCTTGATGGCAATGACGTTGCTACTCTTGAGCGAGGTGGTGATCCGCTCATAGAAGGTCACCCCCTCGCCGAATGGCATGTACAAGCCAAGCATCCTTTTAGGCTCTAAGATGATTGTGGACGAAGGGTAGCCTGGTGGAGCACACGCAACACAAGCATCCTCCTCTACCACGGCCCTGCCCTTTGGTGGGTCTCGAGATGGGACCATCCTAAAGGCCATGGTCGCGGTAGAAACTATATAGTAAGCCACACACTTGGCCTGGGACCCAGAGGCAACCACTGCCTCTGGGACCCAATAGGTGAAGTCGTAAAAGATAAGGTCGGGTTGAAGTCTAACAAGAATAGACTCAAACTCAACCCGAGTGAGATCTAAAGCGGTGGCGAGGTGGGTTTGGAGGTGGAAGGGAATATCCGAGGCGGTTTCCGTACCGGGAGGGAGTGGATGAACTTGAGGGATGGTGATTGTATGTAAGGTTATAAAGGATGGATGATAGTTTTTAGATTGTAACAATTGTTTGGCCTTGTTTTGTAGTAAGAGAGTGACAATGTGACCTCTCTCAGCAAGTTTGTTAGCAAGGTGAAGATATGGAATTATTTGACCAATGGCTAACCATGGATACATCAATACCTTCAATTGCTTTCCTCCCATTTTATTTTCTTTTATTTTCTTTTAATTGGATGGTTATTTTGTGTTGTGGCATGGCTTTTAAGGGTAACTCCATCACACCGACAATTTTTGTCATTGATTAAAAAAATTACTCCATACTCATTACATGCTAGCGTTTTATCACCTACTAGAAGTATATTCTGCACTAAAAATGTGATTGATTTGGAAGCAGTAGCAATTACTCCCTTCATTTTTTTTTTCAATTGTAATAGTTTGATTGGACACGTTAGCTGATACACAAATTTAACCATGATATCTTTAATTTTCGTTTAACAATTAATTATATGATATTGATAATATGAATAAATACATTGTAAGAATTGTAACTAATTCAACAACATATTGTAATATCATGACAAAATTTGTTTGTATTAGTTAAAGATACAAGTCAAATCCATCAAATAAACATATAGTAGAAAAAGTCAAATTGTTACCCAAAAAAAAAAAAAAAAAAAAAGCGAAGGGACTATTGTGTATTTTTGTTCAAGTGATTGTCCAGGCTTCGTTTCAATTATTAGGAGTAATTGATACTCTATTGAAGTATATATGATCTTTCAAACAACACATGTAAGTATTTTACATTGTTATAATTAAGATGAAGAGTTAAACGCTTTATAAGGGTTAGGAACTACTTCTTCTCTCGTCATTTGAATTTTGAGATTAAACATTGGTGTTGTGAGCTGAGGTGGACTCTTAATTTTGTTGACGGAGTGGCACAAACCCATATACTCGATTCATTGTATTTAGTAGAGGTGAATAAAAATGAAATTCGTAAAAGAAAAAAAAAGTTATAAAATAAGTTGTTAGTTGAGACGAACTTCTAAAGGGGGGGGGGTTGAATTGTAGAGAGTTCCTAGTGACTATAACTGGAAGTAAAATCTCAACCCTCCAAGGGATTTCAACTCCAAACCAATCCACTATAATAGGCCAAACACTGCTAGTTACAACCTATTACAATCAAACCTTTCTCACAAGTTCCTTACTGAACTTGCTACACGACAGAACCCTATCCCACCCAACCTAAGTCCCGGACTTAGATTCACTCAGCACTCCCTGTCACAACTCAGCTTCAACCTTAAAGCCTACAAACTGTATGCAATATGATAATCACTCACCCAATACCAAAACAATACAACTCTTGACTCTAATATGTGACTGGAAAGCTACACACGAAATCTGAAACTAATATGACAAAGCTTAGACTTTGCAAACTTACTCTTTAAGCGCTCTTCAGATTTTTCACGCATAAACTCACAAGTTGTTTCAATTATGATCTCTCCTTTATATACAAGAAGTACTTGTATATAAAGTAGGGTTTTCAGAAGATAGAATATTAGAAAACTAACGTTTTATAAAACCCTTGTGAAATTAATCTTTTGAAGAAAATCTTTTGGAAAACTTAACAAAGATATAATTTGGAAAGATTATTATTTTGCAAAACCAGATTTTATAAGATAAAATCTCTCAAAGGTCTTTTCCTAAATTAAAAGTTATCTTTTATAAAACTTTTCATATTTAAACGCTTGCCAAGCTTTGCCACACTTCTAATAGATTTCATGCACAAACTAACCAAACATATTTACAACAATCCTAGTAAAAATAAACTTAACAAAAACCTTAATAATACGACTTCTAGTCTATTGCTGGATTGTCTCCTCAATCGCTGCATTATAAGGATACTTGGGCTCTACACAGACCAGGATTGAGTTCCTGCTGTCTTCAACTCTCCAGCTCCTTGCTAGAACTCGCAGACCAAGTTATTGTGGAACTTGCTGTCTTCAACGTAGTCCAAGCTAATCTTCTTAGCTTGCTGTAAAGCTCCTGTTAGGGAACTTCTTCTTCGTGTTCCTGTTAGGGACCACTTCTAGTTCCAATGAGGAACTCTTCTTCTATTCTCTTTATCTTCACTTGGATTCTCCTTGGATCTTTATAGGCAGGCTATTCTTCCACTTCCAAAGTCAACTTCACCTGTTCTAATTAAATACTTAGAGAGAACGCATTAGTTGAAGCTTTCTTTTACTCATCATCATCAAAACTCTTAAGCTTCAATAATTTCCCTCTTTTTGATGATGATAAACTTAGCAAATTTCAAGCAGGAAAGTTAAATAGAATAGAAGGGCATATTTTTGTATTTTTGATTTTTTAACAAGAAAATAAAACACACAGAACCTAAAGGCAAAAATAGATAGAACAAAAACTGAACAAAAACTTAAACACACACAAACTAAGCTATTACATACACCATATCAAAGAAATCTTTGATACTTTATCAACTAGAACCCAGGACAACTACACTTCCAAGTTTGCTTCCTCTTTTCCCCCTTTTGGCATATATTATCAAAAAGTCCTGCAAGTTAAGTTATTAGACATCTAAACACAGCCCCACAAGCAATTCATCGAGTGTGGGAAACTGAAGTCAGCATTGACTAGCTCCCTTTAGCTAGAACCTTCACACAATCCTGCATATACTTTCATACTATAAAATGCACACATATATAAGCAAGGTTCCTAAATAGCATAAAAACCAAAAGATCACCCTGTTTTAAAAAATACAGACCAATTTGTTCAAAATACCAAAAAGTGAATTAAAATTGTTTATGACATAAACAGAAAAGAAGAAATTAGCTATGGCTAGGCTAGGGTAGGCTGCAAGAGGTAGGCTGGTTCGGGCTTTAAGGATTTCAAGAATCTTCTTGTTGTCCTCCTTGTATGCTTCAATGCTAGCATCCAGCTTTGCTTCCAGACTCTTGATAGTCTTCTGGAACTCAACCTGCTATCCCTTAAGACTCTTCTCAAGACCCTGCACATTCTTTTCCAGCTTCTGAACTCTCTATGTAGCTTCTTTGAGTTGTCTATCAGCAACTTCAATTCTGTCAGAAAGTTCAGCAACCTACCCAACCATGACTTTAGTGTCATCCTTATCAAGTTCCAGTGGCTTCTCCATACTCGTCTGAGGAAAGGAACTTGCTAACAACTTTCTACTTTTTCTCACTGGCTCACCAGACTTGGCTCCTTCTTTCTTTTTCCCACTAGTTCATTTTTCTTTTCCTCCACCCTCTGCATTTTACCATTCACCACAGTTAGGCTCAACCCCTACAAAGTCTTCTCATTAATAACATTTTCTTCCTTCTTCTTCAATCCACCATATGCTCCCTTGAGTTTCACTCCAAGGGCCTCAAACACAGTAGACAGCAATGCTCCATAGCCTAATTTTGATCCATCAGAGAAGGAAATTAATTTTGATCCTTTTGGCTATATAAAAGATCACTGCCATATCCAACAAACTCGCCTCATCTTTCTTTTAAGTTCTAGGTAAGATAGTCTTTTTCACCAAAATAAACAACAATTTGTTCATGGGGTTTAAATTATTATGGTTCATAATATTCATTCCTATTTTACCTCCCAGGAACTCAACTATGACATCGCCTAGATAATTCCCCACTTTCACACCTGACTTCCCTTTGACATAAGCCTCATAACCTTCAGTAGGAACTTTCAGAATGTTTTCTAACCGCTCAACATCAAATTCAACTTCAATATTATTAATTTTTCTTGAAATTATTCCTTACTTAACTTTAAATTCTCACAGAATTCATTCATAGCCAGAGGATACATGCAATTATTCGAAGATTTAGCTAACATATGTTCCCATCCTTGAAAACGCAATAAATCTAGAAATTCCAAAAATTTAGCTTTTCGACACCAAGTTAAATTTAGTCTATAGCCAACTACATACCTTCCAGACTTTTTCTCAAGTGCCTTTTGATCATCATCCTCCTCCATAGGGTCGTTCTCTGTATCCGATTGCAATTGGGATTTGTTAAACATCGCCCACAAATTACTACATAAAGCCCACAAAATTCACTTGGTTTGACAATATTGCCCTTGACCTAAAAAAAAACACTCACACTCTCATCACTCACACTCTCATCGCTCATCTTCTTTCAACCTCTCTAAAATTTTTTTTTTTTCAAAAAACGGCAATGTCGAGGCGGCAAGGCAAGGAATAGGCGGCGGCGGCGGAGGGAAGGAGGTCCCAAGGAGGCAAGGTACAATTTGTAAAAAAAAAAAAAAAAAAAAAAGGAAAAACCGACGTGACGGAGGTGGGGCGCCCTGGCTGGACGCCCAGCCAGCGGTGGTGGCGCCAGCTGCAGACGCCGCCACCAGTAGGCTGGCGCCTAGGCTGGACGCCATAGCCACGGTTGTGGCGTTTATTCAAGGCGCCGCAGCCGTGGCTGTGGCGTCCAGCCCAGGCGCCAGCGTCTGCAGCTGGCGCCACCACCGCTGGCTGGGCGTCCAGCCAAGGCGCCCCCCCCTTTTTTTTTTTTTTTTTTTTATATTTGTTTTAAAATATTGTTTTTTTTTTTTTTTGTGTAATATCTTTTTGAATTGTTTTTATATTTTGTTGTTTATTTTTATAAATTTTTTCAATTTTGGTGTATTTTTTCTATGTTTATATTTTGTTTATAAATTTTTTCAATTTTGTTGTATTTTTTCTATTTTTTCTATGTTTGTATTTTTTGAATTATTTGTCGATGACCCTCTTCATATACTATCATCTCATGGTTGTGATACCCCCATTTAGAGTAACCAATCACTTCCCAACCGTCACGACTCCGTAGTTGTCGAACCTTTACTCTGAACTCACACCCACAACCTTTCCGCTTTGTATCAAACCGAGTGGCTGTACGAAAATCTCTGTCTTCTCTTTTGCGATAACGGTCACATCTCAAAATGCGATTCATTCTACCATCCCGTTGAGATTTATGAGTTACTACTACCAAGCAAAATCCAGCTGCAATTGCAACCTGTTTTGCCCAATCAATCGCCTGTTGAGCTTCTTCGAATGGACCATCATGTCCAAATATCCCACTGTAACCATTTCCGTCTCCACCATAATCCTGCATCAATTATATATTACAATAAATACATTTAACGGATAATACATTTAATTTCTATATTTACACAGAATTAACACAAAAAAAAGCATAATTCTGTATAATCAAACTTAATTTTTATAAAAACCCAATTCGAATTTTCAAACTAAATTTAAAAATATACCATTTCGAATTTTCAAACTTAATTTTAAAAAAACCTATTTCGAATTTTCAAAATTAATTTAAAAAAAACCCATTTCGAATTTTTTTAAAAAATCATTTTTGATTTTTTTTTAAAAAAAAATAAATAAATAAAAAACAACAACAACAAAATCAAAAAAGAAAAAAAAAATAATTTATAAGGGTGGCGTCTGCCAGGGCTGCC